CACCAGCCCCAACAGAGCAAGATTTTTTAAAAAACAAAAAATCTCAAGAGACAAATGTAGTCACGCAAACAAATTCCTCAAAAGAATCTAGTGAACAGAAAGAGGAGATTATGATTTACAGTTCCAAATTACCGTCTCTGGACCCTGTTGTTTTAGATAGCGTGTGTTCTTCACGTACCTGCAGCTTCTGTGTGTTCTAATGCTGAGCCTTTCAGCCTGTAACTCCTTCAGAGCCTTCACATCACTCTTTCACCCCCCTCCCCCGCCAGCTGTACTCCCCTGTGGAACTGCCGCCCAGTCTTCCTCTTCCTTCTCTCATAGCTCAGGAAGTTACTGTGAAACCACTCTCACTTCCTTATCTTTCAGTCATTTTTCTCTACCAACTCTACTTCCTTCCTTCTTTCCTCCTTCCCTCCCTCCCTCCTTCCCTCTCTCTTTCCCTCCAGAGAGGGAGGTACTATACTAGATATTGGAAATTCAGCATGAGTTAAGGTAGACATGGTCTTTGCTGTCACAGAGCAAGATAATGGAGCATACAAATGCAAGGAGAATTGCCATACAGTGTGGTAAATGTCTAGCATGTAGCAGAAATACACGAGAGATGTATCAACCCCAATCTTAGACAGTTGGAGGTGGTCAAGAAAGCCTTCTTGGAGTAGTCTTGTCTTGAGACTAAAAGAACAAGAGAGGTTGGGAAAGCATCCTAGAAAAGAAAAAAGTCAGGGCTCAGAGGTGTTGGAACAGCATAGGTGGCAAGCTGGAAGGAGTGTGGTGTGGCCAGAGGGAAGTAGTCAACAGGTGTGGAAGAAGGAGAGAGCTAGGAAGAGGCAGCTCATGGGATCTCCAGAGGCAGGGTAAAGGGCCAGGACCTGACCTGTGGTCTGGTAAGGCCACGCTGAATGCAGAATGTACTGAGGGCAGCCAAGTGTGAATCCAGAGAGTTCATGTAGGAGGGTTTTGTCTGCAGTCCAGGAGGAAGGTGCTGGTGTGAATTATGAATGAAGGGGTTGATGATAGGCAGAGGCATTTAAGAGCTATGCATGACAGACGATAAGCAGAACTCAATAGCTGATTACATCAGGCTTGTTCTGGTCTCTGGGAATATTCTCCAGTGGAGGCCAGGGATGCTGCCACACATGCTACAATGCACAGAACAGCCCACCCCAAGAAAGAATTATCTGGCCCCGAATGTCAACAGTGCTTTCACTGAACTCTGGGCTAAAGAAAAGAACTATTTTGATAATTCCACTATAACTAATAAACAATTGCTCATTTCACTAGAAGGCCTGCTGGTTAGGAGAAAGTAGCTGACTTCTTAGTACTACGTTGGCAATCTGCAGGATGTTAAGAAACACCAAGGGCCCAAGGACTTGAGCCATCTTCTGCTGCTTTCCCAAGGGTATTAGCAGGGAGTTGTATTGGAAATGGAGCAGTCAGGACTCGAACCAGTGCTCACATGGGATGCTGGCATCATGGACAATGGCTTAACATGCTGTACCATAATGCTGGCCCCATGGCTTTTGTTGCTGTTTTGTTGCCAGAACTTAAACTAGTTTAAGGATATTTCAGTTAATTCATCCTTTTTTAAAAAGCTCTGCAATATTCTAATCTCATTTAAAGTCAGCCATATAGTTTGTGCTGCCATTCTCTGTATTGTTACAGGTGTGGCTATGGTCCAGGACTCCAGGTTCTGACATCATCATTAAGGTCACGTGATCCACTGCAGCAGTAGACTTCTCAAATCACCAAGTGGAGAAGGACTAGCTTTTCTATTCCTTTGACAGAGGTGCTTGCCTGCAGCACCCAGAATGGGGCTGTGGAGAACACAGAGATGAGCCACTCAGATGGCCTTAGCTGTAGCGTGTGCAGTCAGCACCCAGGGTCTCTCCCCTATGGAAAGCTGCGTCTCCCTGGAGCACCATTTCACTGGAGATGGGCCAAGGGGGATCAGGCCTGCTTCAGTTTGACCACTTTCTGCCTAATCCTGCATCCTCTTCCACTCTTTCTCCTGCATGCCAAACCCCAACCCAGTGTCTGCTGAGACTTGGAAGTTAGCTCCCTACACTGTTCCCTCTCCTCTTTTCCATCACCAGGACCAGCAACATAATTACAGGGCCCATTGTAAATTGATAATCCAGGGTCCCTTTTTCAAATAGCAGGGAAGTAGTGCTATTAAAACTACTAAAATTGGGGGCTGGCGCTGTGGCTTAATAGGTTAAGCCACTGTCTACAGCACCAGCATCCTTTATAGGTGCCAATTCGAGTCTCCATTGCTCCTCTTCCAATCCAGCTCCCTGCTAATGTGCCTTGTAAAGCTGTAGAAGGTGGCCCAAATCCTTGGGTCCCGACACCCACATGGGAAACCCAGAAGAAGCTCCTGGCTTCTGGCTTCGGCCTGGTCCAGTCCCAGCCCTTGCAGCCATTTGGAGAGTGAACCAACAGATGGAAGATCATTCTCTATTTCTCTATTTCTCTCTCTCTCTCTTTCTGTGTGTGTGTGTGTGTGTGTGTGTGTGTGTGTGTAATTCTGCCTCACAAGTAAGTAAAATAAATCTTTTTAAAAAGTACTAAAATTGACATCTTTTTTAAAAAAAAGTTATTTACTTATTTGAAAGGCAGAGTTAAAGGGAGAGGGAAAGGGAGAGACACAGAGAGAAAGATTTTCTACCCATTGGTTCACTTCCTAAATGGCCACAATGGTCAAGGCTGGGCCAGGTAGAATCCAGGAACCTGGACCTCCAACTGGGTCTCCCACTTAGGTGCAAGAGCCCAAGGACTTGGGCCATCTCCCCCTGCTTTTACAGGTACATTAGCAGGAAGTTAGGTAAAAAATAGAGCAACTGAGACTTGAACTTGCTCCCATATGGGATGTCGGCAAAGTAAGTAGCAGCTTAACCCACTCTGCCATAATTCTAGCCCTGCTAATTTTTTTCTTTCTTCAGTGATCTCTCTCAATTTCTCATGGTGTTTTAATTTGAAATTTCATGTCATTGTAAGAAAAGAAAGATGGGAATGTGAAATTACTAGTATGGATGTATTGTCCATCTTTACATTAAGCAGTGCACTGCTAGTTTTAACAGCAAATATGAGCACTGAACTCATTTGTAGAGTCACTGAAGTTAATAAAGACATAACTCTTATTTTGTAGCCCTCACATACACATGTGTTTCATGCTTACCAGAATAGTACAAACTCTACACAAGACAAAATCAACTTTTTGTACTTGACTTCTTGATACATGTTCATTTTATCAACTTCTTCTTATCTTTAGTTTACTGAGAAGTAAAGGAAGATTGAACAGGAAAGGAAGTATGGGTAACCCCTATCTTTCGCTTCCTTCTGTGCTGTTGTCTGCAGCTGAGTGGTTGACTGATACAGTAAGAAAGATGTGATAGAAACCCTTGCTTGAGTGTGCTTCTCAGGACACTGTCGGTCTCTTTCTACATCCCAAGCAGGTTTTGGTTCAAGAGGAAAGCTTGGCCTTTCTAAGGGTTTTTAGAATTTCTTTCTCCCTACTGGTCATATGTGTAACACATTTGCCTTGCACTCCTTTGGAATCTTACTGAACTCTCTCCAATCACGGATCCACTGGAATTCTGTATTCCTGAAAGATGTCTGTAATGCTTCGTGCCAATGGAACAGCAAAGACCAGTAGAGACACAGATGGCATTGTTACCCCTGCACACATATGGCTTCCATGGTGCCAGTGGGTTTCACTTACAGAACACAGATTCAAAGATAAAATGATGAGGACTTTTAAGTCAGTGACAACAGAGCATTAAGTCAAGTTTCAAGCCTCCGAGTGCCAGGTTTTGTGAGACAGTGTAGGTTGCACTCCAGGGAGCCGGCTGTGCCTAACAGGATTGTTTTGGTAGCGCTAGATTCTCTCTCTTCTTCTTCAGGCTCTCCACCCATCTTCATACCCAGAAGCCACTGGGACGGGGGGAGTATGTGTGGAAATGACAGATTACAGTGGGCTGCTGAAGCATGATGACATGGAATTTAGCCTTCTCCAAAGAGATGTATGACCTCTTATCTTAATCCCAGGCCACAAGGCCTGATTTCTTCCTCTGCTTTCACGGAGCTCTAAAAGCTTCCAGTCCTGAACTAGGGCACCCTGCTAACCTATCTGTGTGAGGCTCTTTCCAACGTGTATAGTGATACAAACTTTTTGCTTCTGATTCACTTATGTCTCTTTTTTCTCTGAGTAATTAACTGTGTTTCAACATAAATCTCTCTCTCCTCTTGGTACATGCACACAAACACATTTCTCATTATACAGGAAATCATGCTCTAAATGTCAAATAGATTAAAATGCAGAGTAAAGACAGAAATGATCATTTACAAGCCTACCATTTATTTAAGATTTGGTACATTTTAGTGTACGTGCTTTCAGGCTTTTTCTATCTACATGAACTACGTTTTTACAAAAATAAGGCTTACTAAATGGAATGTTTTGTAACTTACTTTTTTGCTTACCCTTATATTATGCATTTATTAATAAACATGTTTGTTAGATATGCCATCATTTATTTAGCCAATTTTTTATTGATGAACAGTTAGGTTGTGATATTTGACTATAATAATTAGTTCTCAAGAATATATATCTATAAATAAATATTATTATCATCTGATTCTTACCTTTGTATAAATCTTAGCAGTGAAATTTCTAGATGATGTATTATTCTTTGTCATCAAATTTTAACTTGTATTGCAATCTCTTAGAAGTTGTATATGTAAATAAAACATTCGAGTGAATTAAGAATCCATGTTATTGACTTTATACCTTTTCCATGAAGCCTTCTCCAGAGCAGTGATCTTCACATCTGTTTGGCTTTAACGACACCTCTGGTGGTTGACACCTGTTCTCCAGGAGGGCCCAGATGATTGGCTTTGACTTTCTGATATTTGTGGTCTAACAAGTAAAACCTTTGGAGACTGGAACAGCTGATCCATATTCATTCATTTTTCATATGAAATAACTGCATTGTATTTTTCAGATGTATCTCAGTTTTTTTTGTGGAGTTCCAGACGTACTTTGCTCAGGACTATGCACAAACAGCATGGATTCATTCCATTGTAGATTGCGTGACCATGCTCTGTGGTGGGTATCAGTTTCTAAGAAAGACAATTATCGTTTCCTCTTGAACTATACATGAAAATGACCTTCCACTGCCATTGATTACCAGTTTCTGAAGTAGAAGTGTTATGTTAGAATTAAGATTTCTCTTTGCAGTTGATTGTCTTCATAGTCTTGACTGATATTACATGGAAGAGGTAGTTAATACACTCGTGGGGACACATACTCTTTGTCCTCCTTACTGAAATAGATTGGTGAGTTTGTAGAACTCACCTTGACTTTGGAAGAAGTTTGTCTTACAGTGTATGCTTGGCTTCTATCTGCCAAATGCTATGGCCTCCTTCTTCAGTCATGAAAACAGTTATTTAATAGCACCTTGAACCTCTTCTATATGATCTCCATTAAATGAGTGCCAACAATATTGCACCACAATCTTTATTTGCATTCTTTTCTCAGAGGACTCAAATTTTAGTTCATAGATTGCATCTTTTCATGCATGAATCATTATACTTTCAAAAGTATTGGGCTGGTGCCACGGCTCAATAGGCTAACCCTCCGCCTGTGGCACCGGCACACCTGGTTCTAGTCCCGGTCGGGATGCCGGATTCTGTCCCGGTTGCCCCTCTTCCAGTCCAGCTCTCTGCTGTGGCCCGGGAGTGCAGTGGAGCATGGCCCAAGTCCTTGGGCCCTGCACCTGCATGGGAGACCATGAGGAAGTACCCGGCTCCTGGCTTTGGATCAGTGCAGTGTGGCGGTCGCAGCGGCCATTGGAGGGTGAACCAACGGTAAAGGAGGACCTTTCTCTCTATCTCTCTCACTGTCCACTCTGCCTGTCAAAAAAAAAAAGTATTGGAGAAAGATAAGATTGTTTAATCATGAGTTGAATATATTTGCCATGGCTATTTCATTCAAAAAGCTTTAATTCACTACACAGAGTATGTAGGATGTTCTGGAAATTATAGAAGCTAATATTTTATCTATCCAAATATAGAGAGCATAGCAAACTTTGAGAATTCTCTCTTTATACATTTCAGGCCAAAGTTATTAAGTTCGCTTCTTAGAGAGTTTGTAAGATTGGGTCTTCCACTGGGTAACACTCTGGTCATACTTTCTTCTCTACTAGTTAACTGTCATTATTATTGCTAATTGTGTATTTGCAATTCTATACCCAAATCCTTATGCAAGTGACATATAGCTTATTTTTTGAAGGGAAAGAATTTATTGGGGGAAACCCAATAGACTGGAGGGAAGGGGCGAAGTAGGAAAAAGAGAGAAGGAGAGAGTAAGAGAGAGAGTGAGATAGAAAGAGAGACAGAGAGATCAGGAGATGGAGAGAAATAGAGCCAAGTGTTCAGGAACAGGTCCTTTTAAAACTTTGCCGGGGGGTGGGGTAGGAGCAGCGAATCCCATTAGGATGAGGGTAGGGATGACACTGGTGGTTGGGCCATGTGGCCACCTGGCTTCCAGCAATGGCAGCGGAAGCTAGAGCCTAGGATGGTGTTGGGGTGTAGATCGCACCATAGATAAGACTGTACCATTTTACTAACATTCCTCCCTTTGTGACATACAGTTTAAATAAAGAAATGGTTCACTGTTTAGAAAATGCTCTATATCTAGGACTGAAATAGAATGAAGACAAGGTATGAACACTGAAAGGAAAGTCGGGAGATTTGACCTCTATTCCAGCTCGGCTACTTATTCTCTGTGTGATCACAGACACAGAGTCACTTCCCCTTCCTGGGCAGTAGTTTCCAAAACTGTAGAATTAGCAGGATGGGCTTGATATTTTAAAGATTGATTGTTCTCTGCTCTGCCAATGTAAAATCATAGACTTTTCACAGTATCTGCAAGAATGTTCTGTTGACTGTATTTTTAACTGTTTTTGAAGCACCACTTGGGAGTGTTGTCAGTAACCACTTATCCTGCCAAATGGGAATCATGCTGGGTGGCTTGCTTGCATCTACTGGTTTCATCCTGGCCTCATTTGCCACTAGTCTGAAGCATCTCTACCTCACTCTGGGAGTCCTTACAGGTAAGGGCACTTTGTGCCACTTGGCTCACCCTACTCCATTCAGGGGTTGTCTCACCCTAGTCTTTTCTGGGTTTCCAAGCTAATCAAGACAAGTGATTTATCAGACATTGTTGGAATATCATGTAGCTGACCTAGCTTTTGTCTACCTAACTAGCTGTAACACAGACTGGAATTGGGATTTTGCCACCCTAATGAAAGGCATCAGCACCTTAATTCAGCCCCATGTTAAAAGTAATGGCTGGATTTCCCGTTGGCATTGGTGTATGACTGAGGTTCTATACCCAGAAGAAACAAAGTATTCCCCAGGGCAGCCTACATGTTCAGCATCAGTCATTCTCTCAGCATCTTTGCCAAGACATTAAAGTACAATCATAGTCAAGCTGAGTTGGCCCTGCTTTATATTGAACATCATTGTCCAATAAATGGAAATTTTCTTTTTTTTTTTAAAGACTTATTTATTTATTTGAAAGTCAGAGTTACACACACACAGAGAAGTAGAGGCAGAGAGAGAGAAAGAGAGAGAGAGAGGTCTTCCATCCACTGGTTCACTCCCTAATTGGCTGCAACGGCCAGAGCTGCGCTGATCTGAAACCAGGAGCCCGGAGCTTCTTTTGGGTCTCCCACGCAGGTGCAGGGGCCCAAGTGCTTGGGCCATCTTCTATGGCTTTCCCAGTCCATAGCAGAGAGCTGGGTAGGAAGTAGAGCAGCCAAGACTCAAACCAGCACCCATATGGGATACTGACACTACAGGTGGCAGTTTGACCCGCTGTGCCACAGCACTAGCCCCTAAATAGGAGTTTTCAATTTTAAAAAGAAAGCTCCTGTTGTGCAAATTCTTATATTACAGATTCTTTCTCCTTACTATGGAGGTATCACTTTCAAGAGTAATAATGACTCCCAGAGAGAGAGAAGCAGTATGTATGCATTCCATATATCACTCATAAGGGGAATGCATGTGATCAAGACAGGATTGTGTGGTGGGAGTAGCAGTTTGCCCATCACTCAGAGGACAGTAGAGGGTACTCTCTGGGTACTGTGAAATGGGGGCAGCACTCATTGGGCCAATGGAGGGTGTCACCTCGTTAATAGTCTGTAAGTTGGGCTCTGGCAGTTAATGAAAGTAAACACCCTTAGTAGCCCAAAGGGCTACGGTAACCAGCAATCCAAGTTTACCACAAGCTGTCCTGGCTTTAGCATGGAGATTTCCACCTCTGGAAACCCTTTGTGCAGGGCACTCAGGATGACTGGCCACCCTGCACTAAAGATGGAACCAGGAACTGCAAGAAATTCTCCTTTTCCTTCTCTGACATAGATGTCATGAAACCCGGGCTGAAAACCTTCCAGATTTTCTGGACTTAAAAAAAGACTACAAGTTAAAAGTCTTTTAAAGGGCTTCTGGACTGTCAATATTTTTCTACTGATCTGAAGGGAGATTTTCAGTTGCCACATTCACATGTACATCTGGTGTGGCAGTTCCCCACTATGTGAAATTGCTCTGGAGCTTTCATGATGTCATGCATGTTATCTGAATCCAAAATCTAGAATGGTACAGATTATCCGTGTTGTATCTTCACAGTCAAGAGTTGAGGCAATTATCTAGATATTTAAGTGTAAAACAGGGAGAAGGAATAAATTTCTTTTTAAAAAGATTTATTTATTTGAAAGGCAGAGTAACAGAGACAGAGGTGGAGAGAGAGGTCTTCCATCAGTTGGTTCACTCCCCAAATGACCACAATGGCCAGAGCTGGGCCAGTCTGAAGACAGGAGCCAGGAGCTTCTTCCGGGTCTCCCATGTGGTTGTGGGGGCCCAAGGACTTGGGCCATCTTTACTTCTTTCCCAGGCCATAGCAGAAAGTTCGATTGGAGGTGGAGGTGGAGGACTCAAACCGGCACCCATATGGGATGTCAGCACTGCAGAAGAAAGCGTCACCTGCTACACCATGGCACCAGCCCTGGAATAAATTCCTTTATTCATCATTATCTAGATTTTCTAGTTAATTCCATTTGTGTAATGATTTTTGAATTCTTAATTTAGCTATTTTTAAAGTCATATTTCCTTAAAAGTGTTCTTTCCAGGAGCATAGCAACTTAAGCCACTGCATGCAATACTAGCAAACTTTATGGGCACCAGTTTGATCCCTAGCTGCTCCATTTACAAGCTACCTCCCTGCTAATGTGCCTGGGAAAGCAGTAGAAAATGGACCAAGTGCTAAGACCCCTGCCACAAAAGTGGGAGTTCTGTGTGGAGTTCCTGGCTCCTAGCTTCAGCCTGGACCAGCCCTAGCCCAACCTTGGCCATTGTGGTCATTTGGAGAATGAACCAGTGTCTCTCCCTTTCTGAAACTCTGCCTTTCAAATAAATAAATAACTCTTTATTTAAAAAAAGTGTTCTTTCCAGGTGGGTGTTGTGGCATGGTGGCCTAATCCACTGCTTGAGATGCCTGTATCCCATATCACATTGCCTGGATTTACATCTTGCCTCCACTTCCTATCCAGTTTCCTGCTAGTGTGCACCCTGGGAAGCAGCAGGTGATGGCTCAAGTACTTGAGTTACTGGCTGCCACATGGGAGGTCCAGGCTCCTAGCTTCAGCCTGGACCAGCTCCAGCTATTGTAGGCTTTTGGGAATAAACAGAAGATAAAAGATCGATTCTCCCTCCCTCCCTCCCTCCCTCCCTTCCTTCCTCCCTCCCTCCCTCCCTCTTTCTCCCTCCCTCCCTCCCTCCCTCCCTCTTCTCCTCCCTCCCTCCCTCTCTACTTCTCTCCCTCTGTGTGTTTGTGTGCATGTGTGATGCTCTGCCTTTCAAATAAATAAAAATAAACACTTTTAAATAGTGTTATTTCCAAGAGGAAAGTAATATAAATTCAATGTTTTCGAAATTGTAGATGAGGACAGGCTAATTTTCAGCTCAGTGTAGAAAACAGCTTTAAAAGGGTCTAAACTGGGGACCAGTATTGTGGCGTAGAGGGTAAAGCCACTGCCTTTGATGCCAGCATCACATATGGGTGCTGGTTTGAGTCCTGGCTACTCCACTTACAATTCAGCTCCCTGCTAATGCACCTGGTAGAGAAGCAGAGGATGGCCCAAGAACTAGGGCCTGTGAACCCATGTGGGAGACCTGGAAGAATCACCTGACTCCTGGTTTAAGCCTGGCCCAGCCCTGGCTACTGGGGACTGAACCAGAAGGATGGAAAATTTCTGTTTCTCCCTCTCCCCACCTCTCTCTCTCTCTCTCTGACTCTGCCTTTCAAATAAATAAAATGAATCTTTGAAAAAAATAGAAAGGTCTAACTGAAGGTTAGTCTCCCTCGTGCAGATAACTTTATTCTGAGATACTTCCTGTTGTCGGCTGTTGTGGAATACCAGCCCTCATAGAGTTCTCTTTATCCACAGGTCTTGGATTTGCACTGTGTTACTCTCCAGCCATTGCCATGGTTGGCAAATATTTCAACAGACGGAAAGCCCTTGCTTATGGGATCGCCATGTCAGGGAGTGGCATTGGCACCTTCATCCTGGCTCCTGTGGTTCAACTCCTTATCGAACAATTTTCCTGGCGAGGAGCATTACTCATCCTTGGGGGTTTTGTGTTGAATCTCTGTGTTTGTGGTGCCTTGATGCGGCCAATTACTCTTAAAGAAGACCATACAACTCCAGAACAGAACCAGAGACGAGACTTTGAGCAACCATCTCCCTATTCACCTTTGACCAAGAAATGGCTGCAGACCTGCCCTTGTCGCTGTCTGCAGGAGGAATACAGCTTTTTACTGATGTCAGACTTTATTGTTTTAGCCGTCTCTGTTCTGTTTATGGCTTATGGCTGCAGCCCTCTCTTTGTGTACTTGGTGCCTTATGCTTTGAGTGTCGGAGTGAGTCACCAACAAGCGGCTTTTCTTATGTCCATCCTTGGGGTGATTGACATTATTGGCAATATCACTTTCGGATGGCTAACTGACAGAAGGTAAAGTCCATGAAACCATGTTTAGTCCCCGACCAGGGGTCGTTAAACCTTGAGTTTCCCCACATTCCCACACCCTGTGGAACACCTAGGTCTTCAATATCTGTTAACAAGTCTTCAATATCTGAAGACACTTTCCTTGCTGGTTCTTGTAGGCCAAACTCTTCTGGCGAATTTTTTTCTATAAAAGGACAGATGGTAAACATTTTTTTTTTTTGGCTTTATGGGCCATATGATCTTTGCCACTACTACCCAATTCTACTGTTATTGTAGCACAATAGCAGCCATGGGCAATATGTAATTCAGAGTGGCTGTGTTCAGATAAGACTTTATGCATACACATGGAAATGTGAATTTCTCTTACAACTCTTATATCTCACAAATTGTTTCTCTTTTGATTTTAATAACCATTTTAAAATGGAAAAGCCATGTTCAGTTCACAGATAGCACAAAAATAGGTGATGGGCTGGATTTAGTCATCATTTGCTGACTCTTGTTCCGGATAGTTTAGGATGGTGGGTCTGTCTGTACTGCAGAAGCCTTGAATCACTGTAGGTTCCAATGATAAATTTGGTTCCATCCCAAGTCAGTCCTCAAGCAAGACGACTTCTGATTGGGTTGTAGGTGGTTGGTTTCTTCAGAACCACCCCAGAGACTGGCTATGGAAAGAGGAGCAGAGTCTCCTCCATGCAGGAGGATTGGGTGCAATGATACTACATTATCTGTAGCCACATATTTATGGTGGACATTACAAATAGCAAATACTTTATTTTAATTGTATGTTTAGAACTTAGAGTGATAGGAAATCTACCAATAGTTTCTTCAGCAAATGCTCATCTGTTTGGACTGAAGAATGCAAGTTGCTCATATTCTCCTTGGAGAGCTATCATCAGGTGGCTTCTCAAAATTTATGCCTTTGGTAGTTAACCATGACCCAACTGCCATTACCCAGTGTTACAAATATAATATTTGGGATTAATTCCACATTTTTAGTTGTAAAAGAAGAAGGACAAAAAGAACTCAGAGTACCTATCTTCATAATGCAATAACTCAGTGAGAAGCAGCCTGGTATAGATCCAATGGAGGAATATTTAGCTGGACCTAAGTTCTTGGGCCAGCTCTGTGTCTCATTAGCCTTGTGATATAGGAAAAACCATGTAACCCCCAGCTCTTCAAAAATCTTCAACTGTAAATCAGGCCAATGCAATATTTCCCTGTCAACCTCATACTATCTTGTGAAGCTCAAATGAGACAATGGGTAGAAAAACATTTGTATGGCATCAACTGCTAGAACTGACACTATACAGTTTGGTATCATAGATGGATTCGGAATTACAAATGGAAAACATAATCATAATGGAACTAACATTGGGAAAGTTTTTTTTTTAAGATTCATTTTTTTTGACAGGTAGAGTTAGACAGTGAGAAAGAGAGAGACAGAGAAAAAGGGCTTCCTTTCCGTTGGTTCACCCCCCAAATGGCCGCTATGGCCAGTGCACTGCACTGATCTGATGCCAGGAGCCAGGTGCTTCCTCCTGGTCTCCCATGTGGGTCAGGGCCCAAGCACTTGGGCCATCCTCCGCTGCACTCCCGGGCCACAGCAGAGAGCTGGACTGGAAGAGGAACAACCGGGACAGATTCCGACAACCCAACCGGGACTAGAACCCGGGGTGCTGGTGCCGCAGGCAAAGGATTAGCCAAGTGAGCCACGGCGCTGGCCTAAGATTCATTTTTTTTTAAGTGAGTGTTACACAGAGAGAGGAAGAGAGAGAGAGAGTGAGTGGGCTTCCATCTGCTGGTTTACTGCCCATGCCCAGATGGCTACAATAGCTGGGGCTGGGCTAGTCTGAAGCCAAGAGCTTCTTTCAAGGTCTCCCATGTAGGTAGCAGGGGCCCACACACTTGGACCATCTTCTGCTTTTCCCAGGCCATTAGCCAGGAATTGGATTTGAAGTGGAGCAGCCAGGACACTAACCAGCACCCATATGGGATGCTAGCATTGCAGGTTTCAGCTTTACCTGCTATGCCACAATGCCAGCCCCTCTGGGAAAGTCTTGAAATAAGACTTTGTCATAGCACAAGATTGTCATCATCTCTGGCAAATCATTTTAATCATTTAAAACCTCCCCTTGGGTAACATCTATGATGTGCAGATACAGATAACATTTCTGAAAGCATCTAATATGGTATACTGCTATAAAGTAGTATTTTCCTCTGTGACACAAGTAACATCATTTTGCACCTAAAGAATTTGAGATTACAGTTAGGTAGTTAGTGGGCAACAGAACTGGTTTCATTATTCTGCATTTATAATCTTTTAGAATATTCTTTCTATTACCCATGGGGTAGATAAATTATTGCATTGGCACATACCAAAAGAAAGATAGGAGTGCAACACAAATGATGCACGATGGGGAAGCCATCTCTATAAAAGAAATTGCAAGGCTTCCTGCTGCATGGCCATGGCCATGGTTCTAGAGGTTTTTTTGTTTGATTGATTGTTTTTTGGTGGTACTTGTGTATCCTGCACTCATTCTTGCTCTTCAAACCCACAGGTGTCTGAAGAATTACCGGTATGTTTGCTACCTCCTTGCTGTGGGACTAGATGGGCTCAGCTATCTCTGCCTCCCGATGCTTCAAAGCTTCCCTCTGCTCGTGCCTTTTTCTTGTACTTTTGGCTACTTTGATGGTGCCTATGTGACCTTGATCCCAGTAGTGACTGCAGAAGTGGTGGGGACCACCACTTTGTCATCAGCACTTGGCGTGGTGTACTTCCTTCATGCAGTGCCATACTTGGTGAGCCCACCCATCGCAGGTAAGTTTCCTTCCAGACCTCTTCTCTTTGTTATACTGATGTAAAAATAGTGAATCCTCACGTAGATGATGAGATACATTGGCAAGAGTTGGGAAAGAGTGAAAAAGAAAAGGGAGACAAGAGCCACCAAAAACACCGTGCTCTCACCTACATTCCTTTTTCCCCCCAAGCTTTATTTCTTTGTTCTTATTTTATTTGAAGAGGAGGTATAGAAAGCAGGAGAATCTGTTGGTTCACTCCCCCAAATAATTCCCACAACAATTGTGGCTGGGCCAGACCAAAGTCAGGAGCCTGGAACTCAATTCGGTCACCCATGGCCGTAGCGGAATCCCAACTATCTGAGCTGTCTCCTGATGCTACCCAGGGTGCACCCTAGCAGGCAGCTAGGCTTAGGAGCAGAACCAGGACTCAGATATGAAGTGTGGCCATACCAAGTGGCATCTTAACCTCTGTGCCAAATACCTATCCCCTGGACCTATGTTCTTCAAAAACTGAATATTATTATAGTTTGTGTGAAAATGGGGTAATATAGAGAAGAGTGTATTTTGGAAAGTGTTATCTAGCTATTTAGGGGCAAGGTAGTTAGGATTTTATACAAATAGTCCAGGATCAAATGGAAAAAAACTCTTGAACTAGGGCTGCTGTAGTAGAAACGGATGAGTTCTGGAACAAAGGAGGAAGTTTGGGGGGAACAATTAATTAGCATATGGGGTTGAAGGAGAGAAGGATATCAAAGATGACTTAGAAAATAGAGTTGTGGTTGAAAGAATGAGGAAGTTGGAAGAAGTGACTCTGCCTGAAAAAATAATAACTGGAATGCTTCGATGTATTGAGATATCTGAAATGTGTAAATGAAGATGCTCAATAGAGTTATCTAAGGATAAAATCTGAGCTTTAAAGGGAGACTAGATTTGGAAGTTAGATCTGAGAATCATCAGAATGAGTATCTATAATGTTTTGTATACTGCGAAAGCTAAAGCATTATTAAATAAATAATTTGATAAATATTTATTGCATTAAACAGGTAATTCAACAAATATTTACCGCTTGTAAGCAGTACTGCCTTCAGTGCCAGGGACAGAGCAAACAGATTCATTCCTGGGGCAGGTGGTATAGACAGTTTCTCCAGTACCAATGTCCTGGACCCTTGTATCAGAATCCCCTAATGCCCTTACTACAGTGCAGATTCTGTGACCCTCTCACCTGTGATCTGAAACTGTGGGGATGGGTTTCAGAAATCTACATCTCAGCAGCTTTCTTGTTGCATGCATGTACACTAAAGTGTAACATTAGCTAATTAGAAAGACACTAGATTATTACTAATTTCTAAATTAAAATCTAGGGAATGAATACTGTTTCTGAAGACAGGCAAAAGAGAAATGAACCCAATATTTACCTAGAAAGAAAGAAGAGAATTTTTTTTGAAGAAGGCAGGATTTTTGCTACTAGCTACTACTGTTAATGACAATTTAGGGTTATTTCTAATTGCCAGAAATTTCCACAGCAGCAAAGCAGGGGAAGCTGTGGCTGCCTAACTGCTGCAGATAAAAAACTTCCATTCACTTTAAGCTCTGTGATACATGATTATATGTTCAGTGCTGCGGTTTTGAAAACTGCCTCCAATTGCTTCCACATCTTCCCTCTGTAATCAATTTTGGTGTTCACCAATTTAAGAACAGTATAATCTTGTGAAAAGTCACAGCCTAGAAAGAAAATCAGGATTCCTGGATCCTTTTCTCAATTCGCGGAACTTCATTTGGCACATCAGACATTATACTCATTCCTAAAAATTCAAGGATTAGGATTTTAATTCTTACTGTAATACATTTCTCATTTACCTTTAAAATGAGTACTCAACTCAGTCTTTTCTGCTTGTTGCTACAGAAATGCACCACAAATCACATGATAACAGAAGGTATTGGAGCATAGGAAACTGTGGGGCACAGAACAATTTCTACATGCCATTTTTGATTAGTGGATTTGAAGTGGGTCAGAGGAGAAGCCATATATGGCCGGCGCCGCGGCTCAATAGGCTAATCCTGCGGCTCTGGCACACTGGGTTCTAGTCCCGGTCGGTTGGGGCGCTGGATTCTGTCCCAGTTGCCCCTCTTCCAGTCCAGCTCCCGGGAGTGCAGCAGAGGATGGCCCAAGTGCTTGGGCCCTGCACCCCATGGGAGACCAGGAGAAGCACCTGGCTCCTGGCTTCAGATCAGCGTGGTGCGCCGGCTGCAGCGGCCATTGGAGGGTGAACCAATGGCAAAGGAAGACCTTTCTCACTGTCTCTCACTGTCCACTCTGCCTGTCAAAAAAAAAAAAAAAAAAGAAGAAGAAGAAGAAGAAGAAGCCGTATATATCTCTGGTGGTTTATTTGGCATAATAGTAAAGTTTGGATGAATTTTTTGAAGACTTATTTATTTATTTGAAAGGCAGAGTTACAGACAGAGAGAGGGAGAGAGAGAGAGCAGTCTTCCATCTGCTGTTTTACTCCCCAAATGGCCACAATGGCCGGAACTGGGCCAGACAGAAGTCAGGAGCCAGGAGCTTCTTCCAGGTCTACCCACATGGGTGTAGGGGTGCAGCACTTGGACCATCTTCTGCTGCTTTCCCAGACCATAGCAGAGAGCTGGATGTGGAAGTGGAGTAGCCAGGACTCAAACAGGCGCCCATATGAGATGCCAGCGCTGCAGACAGAGGATTAACCTACTGCTCCACAGTGCTGGTCATGATGAATTTTTTGAAAACATTTGTAATGACAAAATAATTGTTTGCCAAGGTAAAATTTTACTCCAACAAGTCTGTGATCATTGTCGTCAATATGTAATACAGCAGATGCTATGATTTTCCTCAAAATTTAGAGTTAGGATAGACACTGAGATTAATTTTTTGCAACAAGGGATAAAGGGAGAAAAACAAAACCCTGTGTGGTTACAGAAGTGTGCATTTGCATATTCTGAGATGGCCCAAAGTTCTGATTTTCAAAGTGGATGGAGTACAGTGGCTGGATTCAATTGAAAATTTGGATACTGCTATAAAACATGTTATACTATTCAGGATAACTTACGGGTTCTGGGAATATTAGCATTTTATATAATTATATAATTGTTAATTTGCCTAACATTCTAGATAAATTATCTCAATTTTATTAATTGGAATGATATTAAAATTATAAGGACTGCAGTAAAATTTTGAAATTTTTTCTCTTCCATAGGATTTCATGGGATTAAAAATGACTGTATTTATTGTGTGATTACTAAGTATGTGTCATTATTCCATGCACTTTACATAACAACAACCAATTCATTTTAAGTTTCCCTTTAAAAATAGAATGTGTTTTTCAGTTGCTTCACAGGATATTTAAGAAATTTGTTTTTTGCCCCAAAATTATGATGGTGGGGTTAGCAATCCACTGTTGCTATCCTTACAGATTATTAGATTTGAGAATGGGGAAGTACAGTGATTGAATTTCCAACTCAGCAATGTGATTTTGTTTTTGCTTGTTCCAGGCTGGCTGGTAGATACGACTGGCAGCTACACTGCAGCGTTTCTTCTATGTGGATTTTCAATGATATTTAGTTCTGTATTGCTTGGCTTTGCTAGACTCGTAAAGAGAATGAAAGAAACCCCACTGCGGTTCCTTGCCAAAGAATCTGATCCCAAGCTGCAGCTATGGACCAATGGAACGGTGGCTTATTCTGTAGCAAGAGAATTAGATCAGAGAGATGGAGAATCTGTGGCTACAACAGTGCCTGGTTACAGCCCCATATGACCAATGGCCTTGAGCCTGGGAATCTTCAGGGTTGAGAGAGTTGGGGCCATCAGATGATTCATGTTTCTGAAGCATTTTATTTTGGCAGAAGTATTTCCTTCCAAGGAAATTATTATTGTTGTTTTGTTGAAATATTTATAAGGGAAAATATCAAAAATACTAAGCTAGACTAGCCTGGGGTTTCCTTATATGGCATTTGTACTCCAATTCAATGTGGATGGAGATGAGGACAGTGACATAATTAGCTGTAATTTGAGGTAATTTCAAGGCATAACCAAAGCAGATAACACTGGGTTGCAGCCTTGTCATTCCAAAGCCTCCACATCTCCCTCTTCCCTCCTCAGTGAGACGGCAAATGGAAACACTGACCTGTAGGTTCACTTACCTTGTGCTACTTGGAAAAGCGGGGTCAGTTTGAGTGTGGTATGGAGAGTGAAGATGCACACTTTTTCATGGTGGAGGTCCTCATTCGGGTTTTTAATAGAGAGTTAAAGAATACTTGATATTCTTCCAAAGGCAATGCAATGATTAATATAAAGAGACTGGCTTCTCCTCAGTCTTACTTAGTCTTCAGCCAGTCCTCATCCCTGTCAATGGGTAGATATCGCTTTGAGAACCCAAAGACTCATGGAATGGATCTGAAAGCCTGGCTGGTAAGATCTTCTATTTGAACTTGTTCTCTAGAAAGGGAAAGCGCTTTTCCTAAGACTGTACCCAGGGACTCACCTCCATTACTATCACATGTATTGCTGACTCCAAATTTAGTAGAACACCCACACCACGTTGCAAGGGCAACCCATCAGTCTTGCTTGAAATGTTAACAACATAAAAACTCCCTCACCCCCACTTGTTTTTCCTTCAAGAAAAAAAAAAGTTCTTATTTAAACTACAGACACATTCCTATTAGGAACAGAAAAATGTTGACAACATTCCAACTGGGCAGGAATTGAATTCCTGAATCAGCAGGTCTCTGAGAGAGTTTTCTTTGCAGTTTAGATAATTAGGGTCATCATTATCCAAAAGAGGATTTGAAAGATTTTACCTGAAAAACATTATCCTGATGATTTTCCAATGATTTTCCTTTGCCCCCGTGTTAATTCTTGTTCCAATGTCTGTCAACCTTCATTCCTTATAGTTAATAATTAGAACTTAACTCATTGGATTATAATAGTTTATTCCTTACCATATACTCCACTTTTGTATGGGTTGGGATAGTCTTCAGATTGAAGAGGGAGGGCATGGAGAGAGAAAGGAAAGGCCAAGTTCCCTCACTTGTCTTTAATTGTTTGAAATATACAGAATTGTAAACTTTACTCCTAAATCATGTCATACCCATAAGTAGGTAAAATTATGCAATTAAAAGAAGAAATCCAAACTTCAAGAAAATATTTTGACCTTGAAAGCCTTTTAATCCACTGTCTCGCATGAGACCTCACAAGTGCCCTGTCAGGTGTACTGGAAGAAAAAAAATCAATGAGGAAGGTCCTAGGTAGACTGAGCTTGCTTAGCAAGAGTCCTTGCCTAGCATTGGATTATTTCACAAAATCACACGTTTAAAACATTGTTTTTGGAATAAAATCCAAATGATGGGAGAAAATGGTAATGTTTCATAGTTGTTTTCCAAAGAGAAATTTGAATATTTTCTGTTATCTCCTTCGTCTGAGAATTTCATTTTGAATCCATTTATTTTGTCATTTGTCATTCTTTTAAAAATTTGGAAAATATATGTAAGATGTCAATGTTAAAATGAAGGTACACTTGTTGAAACAGCACTTTACCCAAATGTTATTTCTTAAATCTTCATGCTCAAGAATTTTTTGAAATATGAATAGCTATAAATATGAGGATACTTCAAAGAGTTCATGGAAAATTCACATTATCTTTTATTCCCATTCTTGCACAGCTTTTTGAAGTCCCTTTATATTCTTACACATTTTTTAATAGGAATAATCACAATGCGATTTTGTTTATGAGGTTCTGCAGTATAACTTCTCTAAAGTATTATAACTGAAAAATTAACATAATGATCAGAAATTTTTAAGTATTTGTATAAAAATGTTTGGAATAGTTTGTACACATGCACTGATTTGCAATTTACTTTCTCTCTTGGAGCAGCATTTTTAGAAAATCAGTAAGGAAAATGTTGATCTTCAAGTCTACCATTTTTGGCATCTACATAAAATTGTACTGTTTCATGTGCCTATTCTGTTTGTTTCGAATGAGGAATTAATGATAATGATATATTTTGTAAAATTAAAACAGAAGTATAGCAGGATGTTTCTACATCTTAAATATTTCTTTATACCACTACAAACTCTACTTTGGAATTGATGGAGTGGAGCAGCAGAAGAAATTATCTAACTTTTATAAATACATTGTACCATTGGGGCCTTTGTTCAGATTGTAATTTCACAAATAGATCTGCTATTTATGCTAATACTTTCTTATTTAAAAAGCAAAATAAAGTGAGTTTATGGTCATGTGTTTGGAGAAACACTTTTTCCTTGCAAAAGGAGTTTGAATTGCATGGTGTCTGGAACATGCTAAGATATAGTTAAGTTGCATTTTAAAATATGGTAAGTAATCAAAACCCTTCACAGAATACTCTCAGTACTGTGCTAGGCAATTTCTATGCATTGTTTCATTTACTCCTCATAATAATCTATGTTATCACCAATCTGTAGATGTAGAAGCCGAGGCACTAGGACCCATAGCCTAGTAGGTGCTGCACTCTAGTGCGTGAAATGAAATTGAATAGAACTAGACACCAGTCTAAAGCTGAAGCCTGTGTCCTTCCCTTTTTGCCTACTCTGGTCATCTTGTATGGGTTTAAGAGATGGCTTAGAAATAGGCCTTCCACTGGGCAGATACAATCCCCTAAATTATATTGCAATTTTCCAATAACTGTAGGAGAGAAGATTTTTGATCGGAACTTCCAAAGAGGTTTGACCACTACTTCCAGGCTAAGTTGTTTAATTTGATGTTGGTTGACTAATGCTTCTCTTTGTGAGCGTCTGCGTGGGTGAAGAGTGGGAGACAGGGGAGTATACTTTGTTCTAGCAGTGAGTTCCACCTTCCATATTACCAAAGTCATGCTTTCTTGGTCAAGAGTTCAGTTCTTTCTGAAGTGCCTGCATCATTGCCAGTGTCTATTTGGCACCCACCTTCCTGGTCCAAATAGGTTTAACTCTGAAACTGTTTATTGTGATGAAACAGTGTGAGTTCATGGGAGTTTCTCTTCTCACACTTAAAAGCTGGAATGTTTTAAAATTTTTCAATTCTATCAAATAATGGATTTTATCCTTATTGTCATAACAGCTACCGGTAACAGATAACTAGGATTTTATTCCATAGTACAGAAAAGTATTTGATAGGAGATATGGGAAGATATCAAATAGTGCTAAAAGACTGACATTAAAACAAAGCATTTTGTTATGAACTCTCAAACATATGCAAAAGTAGAAAGAACAGCAAAACAAAGTTGATGTACCCTTTCCTCAGCATATACCATTATGTACCAATGTTTCCCCCTCCATGAAGAGATCTGAAATATATGAACATGCTCACAGCACACGTCCTCCAGCTGCCAAGGAATGACTAAACTCAGCAAAAATAATTTGTTCACATTGGCAGAGGGTATGAATGGTTAGTATTGCATCACCTGTTAATGAGCCACACCATTACAAAGCTGATGGGGCCCTTTCTAGCTATGAGATTGGAGTATTGAAATTACAGGTTAAAGTTTCCTCCTCTCCCCAGCCTCCTCATCAGACTTATGGCTGTGTCAAATAAGGGAAAAGTGCTTTTGAGGTTATTTCACTATTTTTCTTCATTGTTTAAGAGTCAGAGGTCCCTGAGGGGTATGAAATCCAAGATTGGTCTAAAATTTAATAAGAACCATTTGATCTTGAGGTTTGAATTGACATTAAAAGGGCATTAAAATTGGGGCTGGTATTACAGTGTAGCAGGTCAAACTGCAGTTCTGCTCATGACACCAGCATCCCATATTGGAGTACAGGTTCAAGTGCTTGCTGCTCCATCTCAGATCCAGTACCTGGGCCCCGGCCACCCACATGGGAGACCCAGATAGATTTCCTGTCTTCGGCATGGCTGTTGTGGCCATTTGGGGAGTGAACCAGCAGATGAAATCTCCCTATCTCTCCCTCTCTCTGTAGCTCTGCCTTTAAAATAAACAAATATTTTAAAATGCATTAAAATTGATATTTTAAATGCAATCTTTCAAAAATTTTCTCATAAAGGTGTTTGTTTTTTGTGACCTTTGACACAGGTAGTGATGAAAGAGCTGGAGGCCCCTACCTGAGCAAAGATGAAAAATTCTCATTCATTCCTGGACAGCTTGCTTTTGCAGTTGGGGCCAGAGCAAGGTCATGGTGGGCAAGAGGTGGGGGTGGGGGCAAGGGCTGTGGAGCACCCTCTTTGTGTGACCACCAGAAACTGGCAGACACCTATGCACAGAGACATGTTATGCAGCACTGCCATCTGCTGGAATTAGTCAGAACACCACCCCCCCATTGGTGCTTCCAATTGTAATTCACTAGTACAGGCTGGCCTTAGAAGAAACATGGGTTGTTTCCTCCACTTCCAACGTCCCCACCCCACACCCTGCTTGTTACCCATCCCACATTTATCATCTTTCTCTTGCAGGTACAAATACTGAGATAAAGATGCTGTGTTGCAGGTTTAAGGATTTTGATTGTTTTTGTCAGTTTTCTATGTAGAGTATCAAAGTTAATGTAAATGATGATTTTGATTGGCTTGACTAAAATAGCCATTTATAAAATGTAAGGTTAAAAATATTTCTTGGAGTCCTCTTCCCTCTGAGGAACCAGATTTCCATTCTTGGTTGCATTTTTGTTTCCTGTTGTTAACCCTACCAATGTGCTAATTGATTTGATGTCATGATAAAGGATTAAATTGAAATATGAGACATTGAATCTTAAATATACATAAGAACCCAAATTTTTGTAAATGCTTAAACCACATGATATATGAGAGTAGACCCCATGTCTGGAAACCTAAAACATCCTCCTTCTATTCTATATACAAGTTATGATAAATAGTGATTGAATTTAATTTAAGATGTGTACCTACTATGAAATTGTGAGGATGCTAGTTATAATTTATTCAGAGGAGAGTGAATCCTGTTAAAATGAAAGATTCTGTTGAACTAAGCAACTTGATGAATTTGATTATGCGTAGGTGGGTCTGTGACTGAGTGTGAGGATAAGAGAGAGAAGTGAATGACTTTGTTCCTTGTTTTACCAAGAGAAAAGTGACTTAGGAAGTAGGCAAGGCCCAGAATCACGAAGAGACAAAGATCAGGAAAAGGCCAAGGTTCCTTTCCTTCCTTCTCTTTGCTTCCTTCCTCCATCCTGCTCTCTTCTCTGTTTCCATCTTTCTCCCCAGACACCCCCCCTCCCTTCCTTCTTTCCTTGCTATAGTCTCTATGAAGAATTGGTTCTATTTTTCCAAATCTTTCATCTCTAATTTTAACATTATTTAGAAAATATTACATAGTGACTAAGTGCTAGCTTCTAGAACGAGGCATCCAGGATTTGAATACTTTTTCCACATCTTACTAAGAATGTGACCTTGATCTTAATTCCAAATTCCAATTTACTCATTTACAAAAGGGAATAATTAAAACGCCTATTAATAGGAGTTTTGTAAAGTTTTTTCACAATTGAGATTATATTGGTTGGGTTGAGAATTAGAACACAGACATTCTAATTCTTTTTTAAAATGGTTTATTTATTATCTATTATAAGACAGAGTGGTAGATAGATCTTCTGTCGCTGGTTCACTTCCCAAGTGGTGACAAAGTCAGAACTGGGCCATGATGAAGCCAGGTTCCAGGAACTCCATCTGGGTCCCCCATGTGGGTGTCAGGGCCCAAGTACTTAGGCTATCTTCTGCTGCTTTCCCAGGCACATTAGTAGGAAGCTGGTCAGCAGTGGAGTATCTGAAACTCCAACTGATGTTCCGATACAGGATGCCAGCATCACAAACAACAGCTTAACCCAGTGTGCCATAATGCTGGCCCCATTGTACACAATTTTTAATGTCCATACTGAAAATGCAAAAAGCCATGTAGTCCTTTTTAAAGTTATTCCAGTGACTTCCAAGCTTCCAGTTTGGAATCAAATCTTCTTTAGGAGGATATCAGTTACCAATATCTTTAAATGTTGGTTCACAATCACATAAGCCCTGCCAACTCACAATTTAATAAATATATACTACATCCTCAAATATTCAATCTTCCATGGCACATTAACAAAAGCATTAGGAAAAATGACTACCAAGACCAAAGTATGTACAGAGTACACACAACTCTGACAGGCAACAATTAAGGAGGACGTTTCTGTAGTAGAATTGTTATTCTACAAAACAATAACATGGGAGTAGAAGAACTGAAAATATTGACATTGTAAGTGCAAAATATTGAAGGCATATTAAAATATTGAAAGCATATTAAAAGTCATTAAATCGACTTTAAATTTTCATTTAGGATGCTCTGTACTGTGGGATCTAGAAAGTCTCCCCACCACCATCTACAGAATGAGACAGTCAACGCCTCCCGTAATTCAATATCTTACTGTTTTCTGGTTGTACCAAAAAAAGGGAACAATCAGCAAATGATTTCACCTCCTAAAATATCATTTACAAAAAAACAAAAACAGGATGAGGTGGGATTCCCTTCTTTAAAACGTTTCCAGAGCTACTTACTTGCATTTACAAAACAGTTGATAAAAATATTCCTTTGGGTTGTACAAGAAGGGAGCCAGGGACACTGAGAACATGCACGCATGGTACTCAGACTTGGCTTCTTTCTCTTCTGCTTCATCAGAAGTTGGAGTCTGATGGTCTACAGTGTCTGTGTTCTGCAAGCAAGTCTTCAGACTCTTGGTGAGCCTCTTTGGCCTGTTTTCCTGTAGCTCTTCTTTTCTCTTCTGTTTAAAGCACTTTTTTGTCTGGTGGCTTCCCTTCTCCTGCGGCCTTTTTGGGCTTCATTCCCCTCTTTGCAGGAGCTGGTGTAGCTGACAACCTTGCCCATTGCCTCTTGGGCTCTTCCCTCACCATTCCTTCAGCTGAGTTGACCGTTCTCTTGGGCTGCAGAAAGGGCACAGTGCCAGGTGCCCACAGGCCTGGGCTGCTTGTCTGCTGCTGCTGTTCCCACTGCCCATGCTGCTGGGACCCACTATAAAGAATTTTAAGCTTAATACATGCGCTGTTCTTGGAGCAGCCCAGATATGCGTGTAATACACTGTATGGAGTTAACCACAGGAATTCAATATGTGACTTGAGCCAAGACAGAATATTACTGATTAGTGTCTTCAGTGTTCCATCCAGCTGGCATCACCATGTTTTCTTTTCAGAGGTTATCAATGTGCTCCCATGATGTATGGCTGTCCCAAAATATCTCAGCTTATTATTTATTTTTAGGTAACATCATGAAAGGA